AGGCCTGTACCACCACGTCCAGCCTCTCATTTTCTCTTAATCTTTTTTGTTTGTTTGTTTTTGTTTTTTGAGACAGGGTTTCTCTGTTGCTTTGGAGCCTGTCCTGGAACTAGCTCTTGTAGACCAGGCTGGCCTCAAACTCATAGAGATCCGCCTGCCTCTGCCTCCCGAGTGCTGGGATTAAAGGCATGAGCCACCACCGCCCGGCTCATTTTCTCTTAATCTTTATGCTTAAGGTTAATATTCAGACTGGGCTTGGGGGTTACATGACTTTAATTCCAGTACTCAGGAGGCAGAGGTACCCCAGCCTGGTCTATATAGGGTTCCTTGCCAGCCAGCACTGTACAGTGACACTGTTTCAAAACAAACAAAATACCTCAACAACAACAACAACAAACAAACAAACAACTGTTGGGGGGTAGCCAGCAAAGAAGACTGTTCAGATGGGGGTTTAAGCCGACAGAAAATCTTTATTAGTCGGTCATCGACTATAGTGAATTTTCGGGATCCCAGTGCAGCACCGAGCCTTTTTCAGGGTGAGCTTTTAAGCACAAAATCATGTCCTAGGCTGACACACTTCAGTTAATAAGAGCAATTAGCCAGAAGCAGAATTACAGAAGCCAAAAAGCAAGGTTTGAGAAAAAGGGATAAAAAAGGAAGGACGTGACTTTTCCTAGGTGTGGTGGGGGAGAAAGTTTATTACAGATAAGAGGGAGAGCAGTGGCAGAGTTATCTGGGACAATCCAGAGTAAACATGACCCTGGAGTGGAGACTTTTAGGGTAGGAATCAGGGTATGAAGGCAGCCATACTCTGTAACAGCCAGGGACTGAGGGATGCTGGGAAAACCTGGCAGCCAGGGTCCACTTTGATATGTTAATAGGCACCTTAGTTAGCCATCTGTCTGGTTTTGAGTCCTAACAGGTCCATTTGGAGAGACTTCCCCAGAACTATAGACTTTGACGGATTAGACCTTTGTTTTTGTTTTGGCAGGTGGTACTATTTACATGCTGACTTCTATAGCTTGAATGGTATTTCTATCATGGAGTCAGTTGTGCTAAGGCCTAGGGGCCTACTAAGATCTGGGGCCCTGTTACCAAAACAAAATCTCTACATAAAGGCTGGTTGTGGCACACATCTTTAGTCCTGGTGGATCTCTGATCACTGTGAGTTCGAGGCCAGCCTAGTCTATCCTGGTCTAGATAGCAAGTTAGGACTGTATAGGTGAGACTCTGGTCCTGGAACCCCCCAAATATCATGAAATATAGCGTGTCAGGGTCCACCCTCGACAGGTTTGTACTTTCCCAGCATAGGGCGTGTGGGTTAGAGATGTTAGGCAGAAAAAGCAGACACAAAAGAAGTAGACAGAGACAAAGGATAGAGTCGGGAGGGCAACCCAGTGAATACTGAATCGTCGTCATCATCATCATCATCATCATCATCATCATCATCATCATCATCATCACCCATGGGCGGCCCATACAATCTGGCCCATGTTTATTTCTCATAGGCTTTATATACCTCAATCCAAAGAGGAGGGGGAAGACAAAAGACTTCTTTACCAAAATGCAAGGAACAAAGTAATACCCAAAGCATCAAGTAACCACCCCTAGGTCAAAATCTCCTGTTAGTAGCCACACCCTGGGTCAAACGTCCTGTCCATAACCTTGAAGAAGCAAGAACAGGCTAAACTCTGATCTTTGGTCAAGGGGGAACAAATCCACATCCATGGGCTCCCACAATAACCAACTCTCCTTCATATTGGCTAGTTCTGTTTAGTGCGCCATGGCACCGCCATGTTCTCAGAGTCTGGCTCTAAGCCCGTTGCCCTCATTTGCTATTGTCTCTAGTTGGTAAACAACCTCTGTGCACGCTTGCCGCTGGCCCAAGAGTGGTTTGATTCCCACCTATCAATTGCTTACACGACTTACTCAGTGTGGTCTGAGCCAATGGAGCCATGACACGTCATAGGCGGACCAGGCGCTGTATGTATTCCCCCCACGTGGTCAGGCTCGGCGTCTTTTCGCCTCTATCTAAACTTCAGTCTTCTGTGCTCCAATAAAGCGCGTTCCAAGAAGAATCCTGTTGTGGCGTCTTCTCTGCTGGCGGAGTCGCGCGCCGCAGTTCTGAAATTCTTTTCTGCTTTCAAACTATGATCCTGGTTTGGCCTGAGCTGAGGACAAGTCTAGAGGAGGACGTTGAGTCTTGCCTCTGTCTCCCTAACAGATGACAGGGCCATTGGTCCATTTTATTCTCAAGAATGATCCAATTTTCAGACACCTTGGAGTGTGTTCTGATATGTTGTTAGTGTTCCCCATAAAAGCTCTCTTCTTGGTACTGGAGAGATGATAAGGCAGTGAGGAACGGCTGCTCTTTCAGAGGATCTGAGTTCAGTTCCCAGCGCCTAAAAGGTGGTGGCTTACACCCATCTGTAACTCCAGTTCCAGATGATCTGTCACCCTCTTCTGGTCTGTGTGGGAACTGCATACAGATGGTATAGACACACACTTAGGTAAAAAACCCACACATAACCACAAAAACAAGTAAGAGTTCTCTCCCTAAGGCAGTCAGAGAATCATCACACACTTCCATCTTTTCTGTGGGGGGGGGGGCTGTTGAGAGTTGTCCTCCCTAGAGACCCTGGGTTCACTGGATGACCATACTCAGTAACCAGGTCTGAGTGACTGGTTGGTCTGAATCTGAATGGTGTCTCAGGACCTCCCTGATGCTTGAAACAGGCTAGTCCTGAGCCCCCACCCCAGCTGGTAAGCTAGCTTTGGGGAAATATCCTCTACCCTCTCCAGGTTGCTTCTGTTATGCCCAAATCCACCAGGTCTCCACAAAAACCAACAAAGGAGACCTAGCCGCATATGTAAAAGCAAAGAGCCTTTATTTTAATCAAGTTTGCAAACTCGGTCTCTGTGCATGTCCAATGTATTGGAATAACTGGAGAGCCCCGAGCTCAATTAGAATTGGGTTTTTATAGTAGTAAAGGTGGGAGTGAGGGGTCTCTGAGGTCCGATTGGCTGACATTTGTCTAGGGGTGAGGTATGCTGGCAGGTGATCCTATCTACAGCGGTTGGAATGTCAGGCATTTCCTTTGAATGGTCTGCTCTTGGGTGGGGGTCCGATAATCTCAGCTTGTGTTTTTCTGCTACCAGGTATTGTTTCAGGGTAAACTACTGAGAATCAGGCCTCTTATTTAAATTTATCGATGGCCAGAGTCCCAGGTGATAAAGGTTGGAAGTAAAGAACATCCTTTGGGTGACCTGCCCAGACTTAGATTATCATGGGTGGCCCCCACATTTCCTTTTCTGAAAAGAGATTGAGGGATTTCAAGCTGGCCGCAGTCTCACCGAGTTCCTGCTGCCCACCACGATGTCTGACAAGGTGCTGAAGATTGAACCCATGGCCCCATGCTAGACAAGCGCCCTACTAACTGAGTCACACAGCCCATTCTCTTCTCTACAGAAAGGAAAATCGCCCATGAGAAAGGAGTTCTGTTTCTCATTTAATATTTCTACTAACTCTGTGGCAGTGGCGTTCTGGTGAGGTTCAGAGAAGCGGCTTCCTGTGGGGAGAGGGAAGGAGCCTGGGCTCTGCTCTCCCCCATTCACCCTTTGACTCCGCAAGGTTTCAGTCTTCCTTTGCTCACGGGAGGTTTCTGGCTGTGTTGGACCAATGGCAGGCATTTCCGGAGAGTGCTCTAAGATAGGGGAGGAGGAGAGAGGCCAGGGTACTCCCTCTCTTATCGGCTTGGTCAGGGTGGCTCCGACAGCAGCTGCCGCCTGATGGAACATAAGGCCTGTTTCCTGGCTGTTCTTCAGAACTCTGGCTCCCTTCGCTCCCTCCCACTAAATTAGGAGGTGGTGTGAGTTTCCTACTGGATAATCCTTGTCTTGACTCCCTAAATTCTCTGCAAAATGTTTCTTCACTGAAGAGTCTTTCAGTTAACATCTTTGTGTTAAAGGAACGACCTTGACCATGCAGCCACGTGGAATTCTACCGCCTCTAACTGGAGAAGTTAGGACCTTTCCTGCTAAAAGCAGTCACCTACCTAGAAGAAACCCAAGACGTGAGTCACGGCTTAGTAACCCTATTCCTAGCCAGGCTTCTTCAAGGACCCCTAGTGAGCCCTGTCCCTGGCCACAAGTCCCCAGCCCGAGCTGCCTTTCTCTTCCGCCTCACCACCTGCGGAGTTGCTGGCACCAGCGGGATCCAGATCACCTTGCTGGCCCTCTGGGTTTTTTTTTTCTTATGTGATTAATTGCAGGAAGTTCATGCACATGACTTATTCTTTTCTCTTTTAGGAGGGGTAGGTCCATTGTGTCCTGCGGCGAGAAGCTTGCAAGGAGGAAAGCACCTCCTCAGCCCACACCGCTGCTGTTCCAATCTGAGAGCTGCCCCTCATCTCCCACAAAAGGCGTGGAACATTTATGTGGGGCTACACCACCAAGACACTAGCAGTTGGCCATAAAAAGCTCCGGGTGCGTTATACACCTGAGGCTTTCCCGAAGGTTGCAGAGTAATTACTTAGTATAGTATGTTTAGATATAAATCATGAGACATATGATTTCTTCGGAAACGTAACTATAGAGTAGATTTGGGAGTATTCTTGGTGGGAAGTCCTTCGAACTAAAAGGCACCTTAAGAGGAAACTGCTATGGAAACTACCCAGCAAAGTGCATTTCTCCGAACCCCTGGAGTCTATGGCATAAGGCTGTGGAGTGGGGGCTTGGGTGCCGCAGTATTGGGGGGTAGCTTGGGAGCGTAGGAAAGCTCGAAGACCTTCGTGTAAGGCAGAGGTGCTGCAGAAGGCAGGCGGCAGGGTCGGGGTGGTCCTCGGCAAGGTGGTCTCGGGGCGACGCGTGCAGAGACCGCGTGCTGCATCGGCGGGGGCGGGGGCGGGTCTGGACACCCGCGCTCCGTAGGGGAGGGGGGAGAACGTGTGTGGCCCTGGCCGGCGCCCCGCCAAGCAAGCAAGCGGTGGCTGCGGCCGGCGAGCGCGCGCCCGGCGGTGCGTGTGTGTGTGTGTGTGTGTGTGTGACAAGCGTCAGGTGACTCGGGTCACGCAGTCGCTCCCTCGCGCTCCCGGGGAGAACTGCCGCGCTCCGGCTGGCTCCTCCGGCAGCGGCGGCGGCGGGAGGGGGAGGGAGGGCTGGGCGCCGCTGCAGCCCCCAGAGCGCCAAGCTCGCCCGGGGAGACGCGGGCGGTTCGGCCCACGCGGGACTCTGGAGCCGAGCGTGGGCGTGATGAGCCAGGTGCTGGGCAAGCCTCAGCTGCAGGGTGAGGACGGCGGCGACGACGAGGAGGAGGATGAGCTGGTGGGACTGGCGGGCTACGAGGACGGGCCCGGGTCCTCGGACGCCGAGCTGGACAGCGGGCCGGAGGAGGGAGGTGAGCCGGCCTGCTTTGAGCGCTCGCAATCCCGGGGCGCTGTGCGGAGCGATGCGGGGAGCGCGGGTCCTGGGCGCCGTGGGGGGAGGGGCGAGGCCGGGCTGCAGACGGCGGCGGGAAGGCGGCGGGGAGCGGGGTCGGATGTCGAGCTAAAAGAGGCAGCTGGCGGCAGCGTGCCTGCTGGGTCGCCCACAGCTGCGCGTGTCATTCTTCCCCGCTATAGTCGCGAGAGGGTCCGCGGCGTGGGACCAGAGCTCTGGGGCGGGGCCCGCGCTGCAGGTGGTACCCGAGTCTCCGGGAGACCTCGGGGATCCCGGTCTTAAGATACTTTGGATGTACCTCGTGGCATCCCCCGGAGTGGGCGCGGGGCGAGCGATCTTTGGCCACTGAAGCCAACTGTTTCTTCCCGAAGGAGCTCGAGTTAGCCTTGCAGATGGGGGCCGCCCTGGGACAGGGACACAAAGAAGTTGAGTTTGGGATTCCTGATTGTTTTTCTTTTTTTAACCCCCTCACCGCCTCCCCCCAGCGGAAGGTTACTTGAAAAGGTCAGTTGAATGGGGCTGTTAACATTCCCCGTGTAGGTTGTAAACATCTCAGGGAAAGGACTAGTCTCTTCAATGCCCCATACTGAAGAAACTGAGGAATAAAAGTCCTCGTGACTGGAGTTTTAAGAACTTTTATGGAGAATCTACTGAACTGAACTTGAAGCTCTCTACAAAGCCTTTTCTCGAAAGCCAGCTTGGATTGTGCATCTGGCAGGGACTACTTCGGCGAATCAGAAAGGAGTAAAGTTAACTAAGCCTTGAGCCCGGCGGAGGAGGAACGGCTTCCCGAGTTACCCCTTCCCTTCCCTGGCTGCTTTTCTCCAGAGAGGGCTGGTACTGGTTCTCCATTGTTTAAATTGGTGTGCACCTGTACGCATGCTTCCCTTTCTGCGGGCCCTTTAATTGGTCTCACAGTGGATCACTTAGCTACGTTTTTTTTTAAAAAAAATAATTTGTTCAGTCGCGTTGTTATTAATTAGCTATTTGTTAGAATCTAGCAGTTAGATCCTCCCATAAAAAGACTGAACGGGAATGCATTTGCGAGGTATTTGAAAAGGTAAGATGCACAATAGGGAGCTTGTGTGGGAGTTTAAAGAGGAGACCCTATTCCAGAGGAAAAGCCGGTAATTTGATACAGTCCCGGGGGCCCGCGTTTGCCAGGAGGGAATAGAACCCGTTCTCCCCCCCCTTCTCTGCCGGTTTTTATTGGGATGCTTGGGGGCACTTTTGAAGTTTGATTTGGCAAAATTTGAAGTGAAAGTAAAGCCCTGCCCAAGGGGAAGAATTCCTGAGACGAAAGACTTCCAGAGCCCGGAATGGGAGGCCCCCAGTGTTGTTAATCTAAAGGCAACCCTGCCTGCAGCTTTGTTTTGATGACTTCAGTAATAAGCCCCCACTGGGAGTTCCCGGGTCAGGCGGAATCCCTGAAATCTTGCTATAAAAGGCAACAGCACATTCACGTGGTGAGAAGCAGGCACGTTCATTTCTGCTCTGGTAAACACTGCAGAAGCCTGGCTTTGCTCCTCTGTCTGCTGTACACAGGTGGTCGGTCTGCTTCTTTCTCCATCCTTTATCGCTTAAACACTTATCCTTATCTTTGGCCTCTGTTCTTTCCTAGTTAAAGTCTGGAGGTTTAGGCCCCGAAGCACAATCTCTCTTAGAACATTTGCCTTCCCCGGCCAGCACTTCCTGCAAAGGAGCTGGAACTGGGAGAGGGGCAGCCAAGAATTTAGACGTCCTGCTCATTGTCCTTCTGACGGCTGGCAGGTTTTGTTTTTAAGGTTTTGCCTGGTGTGTGTGTGTGTGTGCGTGTGTGCGTGTGTGTGTGTGTGTGCGCGCGCGCTGTATGATGTAGGTACCCAGAGGAGAGTATCAGATCTGGAGCTGGAGTTACAGGAGGTTGTGAGCTGCCCAGCATAGGTACTTAGGAAGAGCGACAAGTGTCTGTTGAACCATCTATTTCTGGAGCACACGCTCCCATTTAGATGTTGGTGACGTCTGCATTTACCTATTCTCAAACTTAGGAGAAAGTGAAAATCAGGGACTTATTTGGCAAAAGATGGCTATGGTGTGAACAACGCACTAGTGAACTGACAGGAAGTTTAGTGCATCTAACGGTGGTCTGGAAGTTTCCCCCACCACGGTCAGTCACCTCTGGGAGTGGGACGTTGGATGGACTACCGTTGCTAGTTGAGGCCATTTGTTAGGAGATGTGTAAGAGAATGTAGGCGGAAGATGGAAAGCTCCCACTGCCCCTAGTCTATGTGACGTGTGGAGCCCCGATCTCATCTTTAACCCGAGTCCCTTGTGAGTTTGACCATGTGTGGTCAACTCGAAAATGTGGCGCAGCTGAGCTGGGATTCAAATGTGCATCTCTGGGCTGGAGAGATGGCTCAGAGGTTAAGAGCATTGCCTGCTCTTCCAAAGGCCCTGAGTTCAATTCCTGGCAACAACATGATGGCTTACAACCATCTGTAATGAGGTCTGGTGCCCTCTTCTGGCCTGCAGACATATACACAGACAGAATATTGTATACATAACAAATAAATAAATATTTTTTTAAAAAAATATTCATCTCCCACTCCATAGTCTACTCATGAGCAGCAGGAGCGTTTTCATGCAGCTTAGTTCCGTTGAGGATGGACTGAGACACTGCTTCACCCTTCTTTCCTTGATGCTAATCACAGTAAGGCAAGTCTCATCTTCATACGCTGCCCCAAATCAAACTCCAGAGACGTTACAATGATTAAACCATTAAAAACAATTAAACAGGGACCAGAGCTGAAACAGTGGGCAGTATGCTTGCTGTGCAGGTGTGAGGACCAAAATTCAGATTCCCGGCATCCACTTAAGTGGAGGGGGGTAGGTGTCTGTCATCTCAGCCCTGGGGAGGGAAGACAAGAGAGTTCTGTGGCTTACAACCAGCCTAGGTGAGTTGGCGAGTTCCAGCTTCAGACCCTTCCCCAAAATAAGGCGGATAGATGGGGAAGGCACACAAAGTCCACCTGGCATCCACATACTTGTATAAAGTACCAACACATTCACACACATTACCGTATCCCTCCAAACCCAATTACCATAGAGCTAGGGTATCCTGGCTCCTGGTTCCAATCCTCAGCACCCCATATAAATTCATAATTATACCATAAATAATGATTAATATTTGACACCTGACTTTTGCTAAAGTGAATGACTGCGCTTTAAAAACTGGCAAGGAGCGAGACCAAAAGATACCCCCATTGTTATCTGCCCTCCCGTCATTGAATCAGAAAGTAAAAAGTTTCCCCTAAAGTCCCCAATTTGTAGGGGAAACTTGGTGAAGATAGCTTCTCACCCCAGTCTGCTTGGATCTGGACTGTTTTCACAGTGGCCTGTGCCCCTTGGAGTCTGAGGAAGCAATGGTTTCGCTTGTTACTGGGGTTGCTATGGGGTAAGCTGGTGATACTCCCTGAAGGGTATACAGGTGCTGAATACAGCAAGTCCCTCCTACTAGGAGTTAATAACCGGGTGTGGCGATGTGCGCCCGCAATCTCAGCACTCCAAAGAGTAGGAAGCAGGATCACCAGTTCAAGGCCTGATATACCTGCCCTTTTATTAGCCGCCTCTCCCGTTTTATTATTAGAACAGACATAGGGTGGTGTAATGGGAACATAAGCGAGTTCTAGATAAGCGACGGGCTCTGCGTTGGAAAGAGGATCGTGGGAAGACTCCTGTCCTAGGCGGCACTTTATTTAGATTAGCCCTCCCCAACCCCGCAACCGTCCCCAACCCCATAGCCCTCCTCAACCCCGCAGCCCTCCCCAACCCCGCAGCCGTACAGGACAGCTTTGCTTCCTAAACCACCTCTTTCTTGTTCCTGCCTCCTTTCAGTATTCTTTTTTTTGGGGGGAGGGAGGGGGTTTGAGACAGGGTTTCTCTGTAGCTTTTGGTTCCTGTCCTGGAACTAGCTCTTGTAGACCAGGCTGGTCTTGAACTCACAGAGATCCGCCTGCCTCTGCCTCCCGAGTGCTGGGATTAAAGGCGTGCGCCACCACTGCCCGGCTCTCCTTTCAGTTTCTTTCAGTATCTTTTGTCCTTCTCATAAAAAGTGTACACCAGAGCTCACATATCAGCCAGTCCTGGACACCCTCGGGCATCAGTCTTACCTTCTTCCTTGAGGCAGCACTTGTTCGTGCTGGACCCTGGAGCCTCCAGGGATGCCAGTGTCTCAGACGCCCATCTCATGTAGTCCACTGGGATACAAATGCATAGCGTTGCCTCAGGCTGAAAGTAGATTGTGGGGATCCAAACTCAGATCTATCCCTTTAAAAATTAACAGAACAAAAATTCTGTTTCCTCTGTCAAACCCTGTAAAGTTCTTGGGTGACAATGGCTCTCCCTAGCTTCACTGTGACTCAGGCTTCTCACTCCTTGATTAATGTGGGTGAGAAGCTGTTGATTCTCACGGATCTGAGAGGGATTGTCACTTGTTCTCAGTGTGTAAAAGGTTTGTATAAAAACAGCCTTGACTCGGGAGGCAGAGGCAGGTGGATCTCTGTGAGTTCGAGTCCAGCCTGGTCTACAAAAGGAGTTCCAGGACAGGCTCCAAAGCTACAGAGAAACCCTGTCTCGAAAACCCAAAAGAAAAAAAGAAAAAAAAAAAACAGCCTTGAGTTTCTCTCAAGCAATTAAAAAAAGTTCCTAAGAACACTTCCTCCTTTAGGAAGTATCGGTAAATCACTACACATTAGAAACATAACTGAATATGTATTGAATAATATATATAGTACATATTACAGATAATATATGTGAATATATTCAATCATGCTTTTCACTTCCCTACTAGTATGATTCGAGAGAATTTTATAGAATATTTTTGTTTCTACATATAACTTTTTTATCTCATGTTTTTGGGACAGGGTCTCATTATGTAGCCCTGATTGACCTGGAACTGGCTATGTGGGACAGCCTGGCCTC